TGACAAGAGAATGGGTAAAATGATAAATCATTAGATTCAAGGGGCATGAAATATATGGACAGAGTAGTTAAATCCCATTAAATTAATTCTATTGACTATTCTAATTATTTAACTGAAAATACTGTTCTTTAAAATGTTATGTAAAATGAATGGACAGTTGGCTAAGCTAATATGTTTTTATTCTATAATTTTTTCATGTAGCAATATTTATACTAATGACTTACAAAGGCAGTAAATAGTGCCCTCTTTAATATATTTAACATTTATTGAACACTTTCTAAATATCTCACGCAATGTTCATGACCCTGTGAAGGAGGTGAGAAAACTGAGCTTATATGAGGCTGACATGCCAAAGGTGACACAGTGAATGGGAATGAAATCTAGAGTCTCGTGTACTTCAAAGTATTTGTTCCTGAGTTTTTCCTATAGCCAGTAAGCCTAAATCTTTTGTCTCTTCTAAATTCTAAGTCTATGGATTGTATATCGAAAACACCTAAAGTTGCTTCTCAAAAACAAGGACAGTATTTATGAAGTGGTGAGAAATGTACCTGGTTTCAGATTCATCTTACCAGAAAGCAGTGATGGAGCACTGGCCTTAAGGACAGACCACATGGGTCTGAAGCTGGTCTCCCCACTTACCAGCTCTGTGTCTTTGATTCCCATCCTCTTTGTGCTTCAGCTTCCCCATTTTTAAAATGGGGTTGCTATGAGAAGTGATTACAGAAAAAGCACTTAGCCAAGAGCATGATACATAGTAAGAACTCAACAAATGTAACCTCGTGTGATTACTATTCCTTCAAATACAGTGCTCATCGTTCTTTCCAGCCATAAAGACTTTTCTCTCACGTAACCCCTCTTACTTGTTCTATGAATCACATTCCTATTTATCTCTTTGAGGACAAGAAATACAAAGATTCCTCCTCTCTGAGCTATCTTCAGTCCTCTTCACCAGCTTCTTCGCTCTTCCTTAAACATGCTTAGACTCTCATTAAACACACAGAAGTACATATAAAACCTTAAGTCTGCTCCACACCCTTGTCCAGTTTTCATTCTACCCTGGCAATCCTTACATACCTCTTCATTCCGAAATTCCTTGATGTGTGCTTTCCTCATGGCACTGAACATGACACTGAAACCACTCTTAGAAGTTGCCCGTGATCTTGCCTTCATCTTACTTGACTGTCTTTTAGTGCTGGCCAACTGCTGGCCCCTCATTTATGCTTGGAATCTCTTCTCCCTTGATTTCCAAAGCAATATTCTTTCCTCCTCACCTCCTGTTATTTATCCAAGGTTATCATTTTCTCTTTCTTCCCTTTTTCTCTTAACGAACTCATTAAATATCACTTCTATACTCATAAGTCCTAAGTCTACAACCATATCCTGCCTGCCACTCAACAACCCATGCCTGTAGAACATGGCTGATATCTCGTCACTGCAAACATAAGATACTGGAAGATGAAACTCACCTTCCCCATGCCCTCCAAGGAGGCAATGGATGAGGGCTCCTTGATCTCCTTATCAACTATTGCAATACTATTAAGAATAATACCACCCTTCTACTCTTACAGGCTAATTATACCAATGTCATCTAAAGTTCTTTTATCTTTTCCAAGCTCTACCTAATAATCCCTTACCTCTTTTTTTTAAGTTATTTATTTTTTTATGGTGACATTGGTTAATGAAATCCAGTAAGTTTCAGCTGTACACTTTAACAGTAAGGCATATATATATTTACGCTGTTCACCTCCCAGTTAGATTTCTTTGTCATCACATCCCTTACCTCTTTTCAAGTATCTTCCAGATATGCCCTTCCTTTTCTATTTTCCCTGCATCACTATTCAACCTGAGTACACAATATTTTAAGAGTAATCTCACTAAAACGCATCTACAGCTCTTAAATTTATAATGATTCTAAAAGTCTTCTCATCAAATCCACCTGAGTTTTCATGACTTTACAAGAGTGGATCCCCCACTCAACCTAACTATAATCTTGTTTTCAACTCTATCTTAAGGGCTGATAAAAATCTAGTGCTAGAATGTGCCTTACTTAGGGAATTGCCAGGCGCAGTTTTTATTTCAGCAGTGAGGCAATCAGAGCTCAAGGAAGTTGTGACATGCCTGATGACAAAGATACAGGAGCAGATCTAGAACTAAGCATCCAGACAGGCCAAGGGGTATCTCTTCATTAGATTATCCTATGAAATCTCCACTTTGTCCATGAAAATCTATCTACTCCCCACCCCCTAAACCTAAGTATTCATCCCTACCTTCAGGCTTTTGCATTTGGTGATGCCCTCCACCTATCCGAATGCCACTCATCGTTCAAAGTGCAGTTGGAACCCTACAGGCTCACTCTAGGCCACTCCCAACTGCCCAAACCCACCCCGCCATTTCACTTGTACTACTCTTAGAACCACCGTTTCCATTCTGCATGTAACTGTCCTCTAAGTAGTCAATTCGACTAAAGCCCTACCAGATAAACAGTGCCTCTTAAGAGCTGGAACAAACTTTTCACACTGTAGCTTTGACAGAACTTAGGGGCCCACAGGAAACAGAACACGCAAGTCACTAAAAAGAAGGAAGCACTAGGAATGACTATAGATACTACCTGTCTAGACTTGAAAGGCATCCATTTTATCAGGAATCTCCAATACAAGTCAGTTATAATTTTGTTTCCAGCTAATTACTGTACAAATCAAAAACAGTAAAACATACGTACTGTCATGAAATACTGTTGTCGGTGGCGTTCAAGAACACCGTCTCAAACGGTGTCTAATCTTTGCGCAATTTCAACCTAGGAGATAAACATCTATTAGTAATAAAAACGTACACCCTACAGGCTTTCTTCCTAGTAAAATTTTAAAAGGCATGTATAATTTTACCTACTATTCTTATTCAATGGGCTGCAGAGTATAAAATGGTGCAAAAAGCAGGCACCCGACAAATGTTTGTGAAACTGGAAGATTTATTTTGGAGAACTGAACTTTAAAAAGTTGACTCCATTGTGGAGGGGTAGGTAATGCTTTAACGTAACCCTGAAGTTAGTTATGCTCACTACATATTCATCACACCAAATTATATAATATGCAAGAGACCAAAATCAAACATCTAAACCACTTAAAATATTAGTATCCAAGACACAAACACCCCACTTATCAACTGAATTTTGAGGAGACGGTTTTCTTAATGTTTTAGAGATTGAGGGGTCCAAAATCTCAGAAGGGGAGAAAAATGTATCTCAAAATATAATGCTTTTAAATTCAATCTCTCAGCTTGTACTAGAAAAAAATATGCCATGCTGTCCAGAGAACATACACAGAATAACACAATCAATCAAGACCTCTATTTATCATTTTAAAGCACCACCATTTTGGACTAAAATTGCATCTGAATAGCTCTTCATTCTCACTGTACATAGCTGAATAAATTGCTATCAATTACAGTGTTACAATCTCCATTTCTCATTTGCTCTTTTCCTTTTTTCAAGTGAAACAATTAAAGGGCGGGGGTGTAAAAAAAAATATCCTTTCAGTGTTAATTATGAGAAAAAAATACATATATGCATTCCAGCACGAAATCTAGTAAACAGAAAAAAACTGTAGCCACTGAACTGAATTTTTAAAAAGCCATTTCAAAGGTGCATATAGCAAAGACAGGCTGACACTATAAAAGCAATTTCTAATATCTTTTGAAATACTGTCCTCTTTCTAACCCCCAAATTGCCCAGAAAATTCCTTCCTTGTAGCTATAAGAGCTATTTGCTAAGGGTGTCTTTGAAAAACAAAAATTCTCAGAACACTTAAAATCTATCAGCTACATATATTTATCTATTTTGCCTGGGGGAGGGGCGGGTGTCACACCTCACCACAATCACTCACCCAAATAGTTGAATCAGTATTTCTTTAGATTCAGTATACTAAGAAAAACAATACCGCCTCATATGGTATTTATTTTCTTAAAGGCAGGTTATGATATATGTGAAAGCTCAAGGGAATGCATACATCTGTTTAGCGTCTGAAGAAATGCAAATTTGTATCCAAGAAAAGCAGCAGACCCTCCCTCCACCCTCCATTCTTCATCATCCACAACCAGAGTTTTGCATCAATATCAATCCTTAAATTAAGCTAGAAAAGCAGTACGGAGAAATAATTGCTTTTTAAGGAATTCTGGTTAAACTTGCAACTTTTCCAATAAAACCCCTATTTATTAATGCCACTTATTGATTGGTTTACCCCATCACTTTATGTTGCTGATTAGTTTGCATACTGAGAGCCCAAACCAGCCAAGTGATTCGTGGCATAAACCATCGAACTGTGAAGTCCACGAGGGTCAGTGGGATGTTGTTTTTTTTTTAAAGGTCGTATGCTACCTAAGCTTGTTTAAATTATCTTGTTATAGCACTTTGGGGGAGATTACGACTTGTAGGTGCTCTGTAATTCTTTGTTCTCAGAGACTACTGCTCCTAAGGCCCGGCATATCCTCCCCGCCTCCCACCCAAGATTAAACCTTAGTCCAATCCCAAAGGCTTCCTTCCCACCTTCGGGGCAAGTCCAGGGACCGCAAGCCGCCAGATGGCTGCATTCTTTACGTGTAAACCAGACTGCGGGGAGACCAAATCCATTCCTTCCTCCCGGGGACCTCGCTTCCTCCCCACGAAGGTGCGCGAGCCGGCCCCGGCCCCACTG